TCATTTTCAATGGAATTTCTGGATAACAGTGCTATTTATTAAAAATCCGACATTAATATTTCAAAGTGCTTTTGATAAGTTACTATTAACATCTGTTCTACTAGATTTCCATATGTCCATACAAAATATCATTATTCAGAAGACAGAATATGCAAAAAAATGCTGACTTCTTGTAAAATTAGAAGTTGTCCGTCCTTGAACTTTCGTTGTGATTTGACAGAAACTGCACCATACGAATTTTTGACGACCGGGCAAAAAAGATAGTACAGATGATGTGCTTTCGAATGGTATATGATTTAGCCGTATGTTAGGTGGGTGCATTAAAAATAAAATTTTATGGTTAATGTCACTCGTCTATATGTCATTCACTTGTATGGTTTAGGAGTAATATTGATTTCAAATACATTAGGGAGAAAACTCCTATAAAGGGTGACCAAAACACTTTGACTTAAATAGGTTGAAGTTTCGCCTTATCGTAAACAATTATTTGGCAAAAACATCATATCATTTACCGTAACGGTTTCTTTTGAATAAAGATAACAAGCAAAACTCTAAATTTAAAACATGACCTTTGACAATGACCTCAATTTCCTCCAAAAGGACCAAGGACTTCATATAAAAAGACTTTAGGCCTCTATGACTCATGATGTATGAATATATTTAACATATCACCTATGTTAATTTTTCAAAGGACAATAACTCTCCTAAGATGTCATATGATCACTTCGGTTAAAATTAACCAAAACATTCGTAAGAGTAGACGAACAATTTGGTGAAAATAGTTTGTTGATATCTTTTTCATTTTTAGAGAAATAAAGATAACAAGAAAAAGGGGATGCGGGGAGATAACTCCTGTGAGAATAACTGTTCGGTTACACAGGATGAATGGGGAAATCCCCATTCCTGTACGACATCATTGGCCAAATATCCTTTCGATATGTCTCACTACAAACAAAAAAGCATCTCCGACGGCAGCAGAAAAAAAATAATCAGAACAAAAGCAAAAGGTGTTTCCGCTAAAAGGGAAAGAACTAATTAGTTTAATGTTTTATGAGTGTTTAAATCTCTCTGCTTCTTGAACACCTTGAGATGACCCCATCTCAAAAAGGTTTCCCGACGTCTGAGTCATATGAGTAAGCGTAAATAGTTATCAAAGGTACCAGGCTTATAATTTAATACGCTAGACGCGCATTCATCTTCATAAGACTCATCAGTGACGCTCAGATCAAAATACTTATAAGACCAAACAAGTACAAAGTTGAAGAGCATTTAGACCCAAAATTCCAAAAAAGTTGTGCCAAATACGGCTAAGGTAATCTATGCCTTGGATAAGAAAATCCTTAGTATTTCGAAAAATTCTTACTTTTGTAGACAGTAGTGTCAATAAATTTCGAACATTTTAATATGAGAACATATAACATGTCTTGGGCCCTTTATAGCTTGCTGTTCGGCGTGAGCCAAGGCTCCGTGGTGAAGACCGTACTTTGACCTATAATTGTTTACTTTTATAAATTTAGAAACTTCTGGCAAAAATACATTGCACTTTTGTTCCAAAAATGTCTGTCAGATGCGAAAATTTCAATCGTGTTCATATACTTCTTGTAGAAAAAAAACATAAGGTTGTTTTAAACGGTGGTTTAACAAATAAAGTGTTGAAGAAACTAATAGAATGAAAATCTTCACATGTTACAAATGAAATACAAATTTTAAAAAAGTAGTAAATTGTCACCTCTGGATAGGAGCATCCAACGTCATATTTAGTGATGTTATCTTTTGTCCTGTATTTTTGTGTAAAACAAACCTGAAAATAATGCATGGCCGTATAGCTTAAACAGGAGAGTTGCGAAATATAAACAAAGAGTTATAATTCCTCTATAATTGTAAATTCCAATTGTATGATTTCTTGTGAATGATAAATTATAATGTGTGATAGTTGATCTGAAAATACTGTTATAATTTACCTAGCAACTGTTAGCTTCCTGATTTACACAAGAAACATTATTTTGTTGTTTTATATCTACATCCATTTAATATTCAACAACTCGTGTTTCTTTTTTTTTCAGAAATATTCTCTTTACGGCAGTTTAAGGTTAAGATATTATCATAATGCTTTTGATGATGAGAGATGGCTATTAAACGTCGAGTGGCAAATTAAATGCATATTAATTAAGGACGAGAACATTTTGATGTGATATTTTTATGTAAAGCCTGCTTTGTACTAGAGTGACAGGCTGAGTCGGATTTTAATCGTGCTTGTTCACGTAGAAGACATGTCACTCAAACCGGACTTTTAATTCTAACTCCTAGCTGACCAGTCACTCAAACCGGACTTTCTATTCTAAACTTGAGCTGAACAGTCACTCAAACCGGACTAATTCTAACTCCGGGCGACCAGTCACTCAAACCGGACTCTTTAATTCTAACTCCGAGCTGACCAGTCGCTAAAACCGGACTCTTAATTTTAACTGCTAGCTAATCAGTCATTCAAACCGGACTTTCTATTTTAAACTTGAGCTGAACAGTCACTCAAACCCGACTAATTCTAACTCCGGGCGACCAGTCACTCAAACCGGACTCTTAATTCTAACTCCGAACTGACCAATCGCTGAAACCGGACTCTTAATTCTAACTCCGAGCTGACCAGTCACTCAAATCGGACTCGCAGCCGACCAGTCTTTGATCTTACTCCTAAATACTATATATATATAGTACTGCGTGTTTAGCGGAGAAGCAGTAAAACCAATTTTCACGTCTTAAGTTTGACCCGGCCGGGATTCGAACCCACGACCTCCCACACGCTACAGCGATACCACCGAGGCGATTAAGAAAAATATGCCAATTATTATTAGTAGATGTATTAACTATCTCAGGATGATAAAAAATTTGCTAGCAATGGACAAATAACTATCTATGCAGGGTGAGTTTACATCCGTTAGCCTTTCTCTATCTTGTACACTACACAGCTTATCAAAATGAAATTTTCCATTTAATTGAAATGGTCTTTTAAATAAATAAATTTGGATGTCACTGTGTTTCTTTTAAATGCAATTCTTTTTATTCTAAGCAATAAAACTTACATTATACACCAAAAATTGGACATTTAAAAAGGATTAAGGTCATTAAATAGTTGCTAGTTGTTAATATTTGCATTCGCTTGGAAATGAAGTATACAAGAAAGTGATTGGTATTCCAACGGGAACTAACTGTTTGTATTACATATTTGTTTCCGTATTGTTTTGAATCAAAACTCATGTCAAAGCTGTCTATAAATATATGATAGCAGTACAACTTTTCCTTTCCTGTTATTAATTTTCCTTTTCAGTGATTCACAGGCTCAGGAATATCCATCCTAAGTTCCTATTTAGTCCTTAGCTAAAATAGACCTCATAAACCGTATACATGATGCACATATACATTTGAACTTGCTCATACCAGACATGGTATGGGTAAATGAAAATGTGCGGAACCAGAATTACGTGTACACGAACGAACTAATGAACGGGTTAACTAACGAACAAACGCACGACCGACACCGTGAATACTGCATATCTCCAACTGTCGCTTACAAGGGCGAAAGATTATACACTGTAAATGGTGAAAAATTTTTGGTTTATATATTGACAATGATTTAAATTGGATTGAAAAAATAAATAAGATTTCTTTTGTTATATCAAATAGATTTAACTTATTGTAAAAAATAAGGAAATGTTTACCCTACATATACGTATCAATTATTTTATTCTTCCCTTTTTAGTTATTGTTGCACTATTTGGGTTATATGTAATAAAAATGGAAAGGATAATTGATTGATTGTTGGTTGGTTGCTTAACGTCCAGTGGCTAATAGTTTATGCATGTTCAGGACGAGAACTAATTAACAATAAATACAACAGGAAGGTCTAGTAACAGAGGCGGTCCGAGATGTTGGTTGGGGAAATTTAGACTGCCACTGGAAAATGAAGGTAAATTGGATCGGAAAAGAAATTTTGCCTTGTAACAGGCCACCTACGCAACCCTCAGAGAGCTGGTGCAAGGGTTCTTAACGTACAGAGAGCGTGGCGCTCTCTCTACACGAAGCATTGGATTTAACATCCCCATCCTGACCGGACGTGGGTGCATACTTGTACATCCCGCACAGACAAACGGACGCCACACGTTGGCAAGTTTTTTCTGCTGATCGGAAGAAGACCTTTAGTGACCATATTTCTATTTCCCAGTCACCCTTGTGGGCTGGAAAGGAAAATCTTGCTAAACTAATCTAGAAATCTGCAAGCGTAATGGTAGAAGCTTACGTAATGGCATCATCTACTTTACTGTGAAATGCTGTTTACTAGTATAAATTGGTAAAGTATTGAAATGCGAATTCAGTGTCAGAAGACTATACTTGTTTGAATGACATGTTTTCTAATAATTAATTAATAGGACAAATCTAATTATGATAATAATCAAAACTATCAAAACTATAATTTACGTTTAGCTGATGATAAACAGTTTCATTTAGCAAAAACCAAAAACAAATTTCTTAAAGAAAAATGCTCAATTGTAAATAAATAAAAGACATAGTTTGATTCTCTATAAAAAGACGGAGTATATTACGTAAATATTTCAATAGCCTTTAATGTTCACGCAGACATGTTTAGCCCTGCCACTTCTGTGTATGCCAATCCCAAGTCGGGGACCTGTAATTCAGTGGTTGTCATTTACATGTATAACTATAATATATCATATTTGATTTGCGTTTGTTGTTTCATACATACATCAGGCCGTTGGTTTTCTCATTTGAATTGTTTTACAATTTGTTATGTTTGGGCATTTTATAATTTGCTATGCGGTAAGGGTTTTGCTCATTGTTGAAAGCTGTCGACGACGGACCTTAAGTGGCTAACCTTTTACGTTTTTTGGTCACTGTTGAATAGTTGCCTCAATGGCAATCATACCACATCTTATTTTAAAAAGAATTATTCTGTCTTACTGTTTTTTATTTATTTGGAAAGGTTTACTTTTATTCCATGATCTCATATAAAACAGATCCTTTCAAAACAACACGCGCCGGATTCTTTGAAACAACAATCCTATGAGCCGTTATCGTTTCTTCAGTGTATTTACAAACACGTGGTCTACATGGTCACCTGCTATAAATAATATGTCGATTCCTGACTGCTGTTCTAAAGTAATTTTTACCACTTTAATAGTACATTCCGTAGCATCTTTGTAAAACGTTTGGAATAACTCTGGACTTATCCTTATTTTATCATTCTGAAATGCCACTGCTTCTTTGAATGCTGTATAATTTATTGAATTAGTCAGTGTGTCACCTGTAAATTCTTCATATGCATCGTACCATTTAGGAGGAACTCGAACAGTTACTACTTTGTCTGCCTCGAAATATCTCATTTTCTTTTCAAAATTATGAAAAAACTCAGAATAGTCCAATAGATGATACTGTCTTAAATACGTCAAAACGTCCCCTCCAAATAAGCGCGTTAAAAATCTAAAGAACTCTTGTTTTGCGCTTTCCTTTGTATTGAAAATTGTCTCGAGGATATTTGTTTTCTTTTCCTTAACTTCTACAACAGTCAGGTTGATAGCTTCACCTGAAACGGAAAGAGAGAAAACGATGTAAACTGTTGAATGATGCTTATTTATTATGTATGCCAAAATTTTTTTATCTAGTTTTTAAACACAGTAAAAATCACCATTAATAGCTATTATTGTATTTGGCAAAACTTTTTAGGAATTTTTGGTCCTCAATGCTCTGCAACTTCGTACTTTATTTGGCCTTTTTAACTTTTTTGATTCGAGCGTCACTGATGAGTCTTTTGTAGACGAAACATGCGTCTGGCGCAAATACCAAATTTCAATCCTGGTATCTATGATGAGTTTATTTACAACCCTTTGAATGCCAAAAAATGTGTATAAGAAACTAAATTCACAAAAATACCGAACTCCGAGGAAAATTAGAAATGAAAAGTCCCTAATCAAATGGCAAAATCAAAAGCCCAAACACATCAAACGAATGGATAACAACTGGCATATTCCTGACTTGGGACAGGCATTTTCTTATGTAGAAAATGGTGGATTAAACCTGGTTTTATAGCTAGCTAAACCTCTCACTTGTATGACAGTGGCATAAAATTCCATTATATTGACAACAATGTGTGAACAAAACAAACAGGCATAGAAGAGAGGCGAAAGATACCAAAAGATAATCAAACTGCTAAGTCGAAAACGAACTGACAATTTCAGTGGGGAAAAAATTGAGTAACGACCAAAAGGACAGACAAAAGTATACAAAAGTATATGTGTAGTCACATTTATTTAATCATTGCATAGAACTGATCAGTGTCCGCAAAACACTTACAAATAAGGGCGCGACAACAGCAACTGAATACATTTTTTTAGCAAGCGTAGTAACATACTTACCTCCTAAATGTACTACTAAAGACCTGTAGAATTTTGGCAGTGGCGCTATCTGTTCTTCGCCAAATGTAGATGGTGAACATGTAAATGTCCGATGATACATTAGCTCAGCTTCGGGACCGTGTACAAGAGTTAACTGATAATGTTTGATACCAGCCTGTAATATATTTACATCGACATTAAAATTACATTGACATTTATCATTATACAAGCTCCCCGAAAGTTCCTGTTTTGATTCACATGTCTATCTTAGGTAGCACTCCACAATTAGAAAACAAAATGAAAATTAACCACAAAATGTTTAAACATCTTCTATTCCTGGCTTTCTAATACATTAAGCCAACTGTTTGTGTCAACCATGCGTATATGTATGTAATCAGTATCTTCATAGATTTGATTTTCAAAAGTTAAAATGGTGAAATTTAATTCCTTTTTTGTGTATCCATGGCAACATTCTGCATTTTGCATTTATTTACCACAAAACATTGTAAAAAGGGGCATGAAAATGTAACAAAATCACCCTAAAAATTTGTTTTAACCTGGAATTTTAATGCCTTTGAGTAATACCTTTTCTGAAACTGTTGACCCTTATCTACAAAAGAAATCAAATAAAACATTGGTGATTTCGCCTCATCATTTTGTAAAATTTAATCACAAAGTTCGTGCAACAAAAAGTTGAAAAAAAAACAACATTACAATAATTGCCGGACCAATGGGTATGAAAGTACGGACTGTCATACAGAAAACAGCCCATAATACATACATTACACAATCTTGATGTTCCTATAAACCACTATGAAGTCTACTTAAATTTTTAGCTATCCAAAAATGCGAAAGGGCCAAAATGCGAAACTACACACCTAACTGGGGTGTGCTACCTTATGACCATACGATACAGTGGAGGTAATGACGTTGCTAACATAAACTTTTTTTTTCGCGACGTCAAACTGCAACATATCGGGGAAAAGATGCATTTTTCGAGTGATTTTAATCATTACCTTGAAAACGAGTACATGGACCCCTCTTTTTTAAAATGATATTTTAATAAATATTGTATTAGGATTATTTAATCCACTTTTTGTGAAACCGATATTTTTTTGTTTTAATTAGATAAATATATAGCAAAAAATGCAGGGTTTTTTCTTAAATCTTGAAAATTTAATAAAAATGAATTATTTCCAAGGAATTGTTTTAAAAACTTTTGTAAAGAAGATATCCGAAATCGTTTTACAAAATCCGCATGTGTTAATATTTTTAAACAAAACAGTGTAATATGTCTATCAAAAGTTTCCAAGAAACCGAAATTTTAGGTAAATGTCTAAGTTTCGACGCCGTTCTCTAAATTTAGCACATGAAGGTATATTTTTGATTACATATTTGAATTGACCTGGTGAAAAATAGTTTGTATGCAAATTTTCGTCAAATAATCACAATGGGATCGAAACTGTATCGTATGCCCTAAGCCATCAGGAGTCCAATCTCCGGCGCAGAGCTCACATCCGTTCCGTACTTACTTCCAATCACTACACTTAATATGAATTACGTTAGCATAAATTAACGCAAATTATGTTCACAGGCATGCTAAAAATCAGAGATGACGATCTCTTACTTAGTTTACAACTGTAACTAAGGACACACAAAGACAATAATGAATGAAAATTAATCTACTTGCAATAAAAAAATCTACTTCTCATAGGCCTAATAATTGAACAACTGTCGGTATAAAACTAGCCATCACGCGTTATAAAGAACATCGCACATCGCCGAACGGACCATCGCACTTCAACACAACAACGCACTTAAGCGTGACCTTCGCACATCAGCGTCCCAATTGGACTTCCGAGTCAAACATATATATTTTCTATTGAATATTTATAGTGCCTGATAAAAAAGGAAAAATATACTTTACTTCCATTCATTTGTTCTCATCGCTTCGTTTAAGAAATGTGAAGGGATTTACAAATAGTTTCGTGTATCTTTCGTATAAACAAAACCTTATTTTATGACGGTTTACTGTCATCAAAAATTTTATATACTGCACTTACGTGTAGGTGATCATACAAAATCTGAAATCATTCCGTAAAATAAATATTTCGTTGTAAGGGCTTTTAGTAATTTCAAAAGTTAGAACATAGCTTTTAAAATACATTCAATAAATACCTTTATAGCGGTGGTGTTCATAAGCTGGAGTAAAGGTTCCAAAGTCCCAGGTGTTGTTAACATCTACTGTATATCATTGTCGTTGTACCCTAGTTGCTGTCTTGCTAATTTATTCATCAGTTTGTCTTTCATTTGGTTAATAAAGCTAGATATTACATCGACTGCTTTCATTGTAACATTATTTTGGCAGAAATCTTTTATCTTGAAATCTTCAACATCTGTATTCTTTAAACATACAGAGAGAAAATACCAAAATGAGCAAAGAAAAGAATGAAAGGAGTGGGGATTGGGACTACCATTGGTTATGAGTATGTGTGGACTACGGTCAGATTTTTTCATATTTATGGAAACTTGCAGTTCTTCATTATTTAGAAAGCGTAGCATGCACATCACACGAGTCATCGAGGTTAATGTCCACCTTCCAAGTGGACTGTGCTTCGTATGTATATATCCCACGAATCAAAAGGGAAACGCCGCGTAGGCAACGGATTTCACTGTCTGATAAGTGATGTTCAGGGATTCAACATTTCTGCAGCACAGCTAACCTATGCATGCATTTCATGGAAGTTTGATCTAGCTAAACATGAGTTCTAATGATATCAAAGACAGAATAACTGGTGTTTTAGCGAATAAAGGGACATACATCGTCCTCACTATTTCCTGCAGATGAATAAAATCTTCCTCGATCTAGTCAAAGTAGTATAAAATACTATGGTTTTAATGTCCTTATTATAACCTTTCACACTAAACGTCAAGCGACATTACACAGGAACCTGTTGATAAGTGTTTCTCGTTTTTTATGTATACTAGTATATTAGACCGTTGGTTTTCCTATTTGAAATGTTTTACACTAGTCATATATAGCTTGCTGTTCGGCGTGAGCCAAGGCTCCGTGTTGAAAGCCATACGTTGACCTATAATTGTTTAATCTTTATACAATGTACTTGAACGGAGAGTTGTCTCATTGGCACTCATACCACATCTTAATATTTATATAAAACAATCTATTTGACACACAATAAAACTAAGAGAAGTTTAGTTTATGAGCAAATGTGAACTCTATATTTGTTACTGTATTCGTAGGAACATGAACGTGTTGAAAATTATTTCCACACAAACTACTCCGTAATCTGATTATGCATTTTCGTGTTATTTTCGGCGCGATATGATTATAAAATGTGTAATTTTAAATTATAAAACATTATAAGGTTAACGCTTCACATTTTACCGATATACAATTTTAGAATGTACTCTGTGTAATACTACTACATAATCAGATAACGGCAGAATATGAATAGAAATGGAAAATATGTATGATATACGGCATAAGACATCCATCCCAACACCACATTGAAAAAAAATTAGACAGATTAGGGTAACAATATTACACAGTATTACAAAATAAAGGTGTGTATGTCAAGCTCAAAATCACATTCAGTTCAACAAATAATGAATATACATTTTGCGTAGACTGTCTTCCAAAGAAATAGTTTACTTTCAAAACAAATATTAATTTACCTTTAGTAAGGATTTATATTCATAAACTAGCATATACGTATTTACCTTGAGTTTATAAAACTCCACCATGAAGTTTTTGAAAAAGAACCATTTTTCAGAATCTGATTCACTTTGAATTCTGCTGATATATTCCTCTGCTTCGTAGCCAATACTATGGATAGATTTATCAGGTGGGAACAAAATCGCCGTTGAAGTTTTAAAGGTAACTACGCCTTTGTCTCTTGCTTCCCAGTTGGGACAATATAGACCTACTCCCTTCACAGCATACTGTTTTCCCAAACAAAAGACATATCCGGAATGGGTGTATCCAATTTCAATGGCAGCAATAACGTCTTTCTTTATTTGTTTTGTCTAAAAAAGATCCCTCATCAGTATGAACATATGTTTACGCATGTACGATTGTCTGTTTAAATGGCATTTAACGTGTCTCAATCTCGTATGCTGAATAGTCCCATAACTTTCCTCCGACAATTAGAGGGTAATGAAACGTTATGTATATTGCAAACTTATGTATACGGCGATTTCCTCATGCAAATAGCTTGTTTTCTGTATTCCAGCTGTCGACCAAAAGTAGGTAAAAATCAGTGTACTTGCAAATGGCAGCTTTGTTCAATCAAGGTATATGATTTAATGTACGGGCGTTAAAATGCTGTTATTGTTGTGTTAATAGACGATTTTGCAGTGTTTTCAGTTAGTCAACTCACTAGGCCTTAAAATGTAATACGAAAACTAAAACTTTCAAATCGGTTCAAACACGCATGTTCAAATTACTTTGAATACTTAGTCTAGTTATACCTCTTCTTTCTCTCATGCAAGTTACGTTTTCCGAAAGTGTTTAAGAAAATTTAATCAAAACTTTACCAATTATTGCCATTTATTGCCATTTGTATGTTTGAATGATTGAATTGTGTATATACTAGTAATACATATTGTATTTTAATGTATGAATCGAATGTATGAATGTTAACTGTATACATGTATTTTGTTTGAGGGCCTCAATGAAAATTAGACTACTTCTAATTGAGTTACTCTCTTTAAATAAAGAATTTATTATTATTATTATTATTATTATATTATAAACAAATTAAGGCTGGGCTGTCGGTCATTATGAATTATCAAATTGTTCGAAGATACATGTATATATAAATGTTAGCACCAATCGGACAAATAGTATGTGATGCTTAAGGGCATACTATACAATAGAGATCCCTCGTTGATTTTGTCTTGACGTTTTGATAGAAGGTAAATCTGAATGTGCACTTTTGAAATATGCACAGAAAAATATACCTTCATGACTTACTTTTTGAGATATTTTGGTTCAAAATTTGCATATTTGAAGAAAAATCCTGAAAATTTCATAATTAAAGACTTTTAAGAAAAGTAGCAATACTTTTGAACGAACAGTCATAATTTAACCGGGTTTTTTTGTAAAATGTTCCCTTGATCCATGGCAACAGCATGCTGTAACAAGTTTAAGGTTTAACCCAATAATTATTTCCTGAATTTATATTATTATTAGTGAAATAAAGAAATTGATAATATTTGTGAGTCTACACAGAAGTGTAGAAATAATTCTATCGTTGATTTTTTATAAATATTTTGGCGGAGCGTTCTTGAAACAGTACTTGATTGATTGCAAAAGAAAAAACTAGGTCCATGTGATTGTTTTTTCAATAAAACCATAAATCTTGATTTTTCAATGGCAAACGTCCAGTAAAATTACGTTGAAATAAGTTTTAATCGCGATAACGTCGTGAAATCATTCCCGCTGTACACGACTACGCAGTCTAGTTCAGTGGTAAAGGCAAGGGGTTTTTCCAAAGCAACGAAATTAATCATCAAAATTTATAATGCTGGTAACTCGTAAAATAGCATAAGATATTAGCCTTTATGAAATATTACAACACTTGGACAGAATCTTCTTCATAATCAAGAAATATCATCTTAAAAAGTATTCTAGTAAGTTACTTTGAGAAATGTTCGGAAACAAAAAAGATTAGTCTGATAAAAGAATTAATTTGCATCTCAGTCCGACATTAGTCCTATAATATATATATGTAGACAACACCGCTTGGACATAGTTTTAATTATTCAAAAGGCAACGACATGACAAAATGTGAAAAAAAATTATAAAGTAAGTGGGATAATATAAAAATAAGGACATTTGGTATGATTGCCAATAAGACAACTACCCACTGTAGTTCAAATGACGAAGATAAAGCAATAAAAAGTCACCGTACGGCTTTCAACAATAAAAAAAACACCAACACCGTATATAGTCCGCTATAAAAGGCCCTGACATGAAAAATGTGAAACAATTCAAACGAGAAAACTAACAGCATACTCTATAGATATTATATGTATGCGCAACCATACCCATATTAACTAGGGTTATCTTAGAAACTACTCTGAACATGTTTAAAAAGTGAATATTTAGAGCTGTTTCGTGCAAATTCATGTCACAATTGTCTCAATAGTCCATTACGGTGTAGTATAACAATTCATAGGAAGTACAGCAGTCGATATTAGAGCATAAAATTGCATGATTCTATTTTGTTAATAATCTCTGTTAAATTTAACCGTACAATGACAATTTTCCATACAATTTAGCCGAGCTTGCCAAATGGTGTAGATACTATATATTGATCAAGACAGTACGTTGATATCTAATTTACTTATTGGACTTTGTGTGTAGTTGGGTTTCTGTCTCATTGACGTATTATTATCTACATATTTTTTTGTTCATTTTCTATACAGTATGAAATTAAAAAAAAAAAACACATAAAAAATTATAAATGTGGATTTGATTTTTTTTACATTTTTAGATAATACTGTTGACTTCATTATTAATGAATAAATATAACAATTCTCGTCATATAGACGCTTTTCATAGCAGGTACTTTTTTCAAATTCGCGCAACCGGATTGATGACGTCAGTGGATTTTCCGCAAATGTGACTATTATACATCTAAACCTCTAAAGAGACGTCCCGAAATGTGATCGTTCTTATTAGAAACATCGCGAAATTGCAACGTTCTGATTAACAACGTCGCGAAAACAACACGGAAAGTTTTGAAATCGTTATCACCTGCCCCTGCTCAGTCGGAAAACTGACCCCGGTTTGACCCCGGTTTGACCCCATTTCTTAAAGCAACAATGGAAGTCATGTGACTACCATATTTGGGCATTTTTTGTCATTTTTTCTTCAACTGAAATGAGTCTGTTTCCTCCAAAATGTCATATCAAATGAATTCAAAGCATGCTGTACGTTACAAATGCCAACTGTGTATATTTTTTAGAAGTTCTAACATACAAATTGTTTTGATTAAGCGTACTGAATTAGAATACGAAGCCTTCAAACCCCAGGTCGTCACTTGTCGCGTCAATTTTTTTTCAACACATCAGTTGAAATTTCTTTCTTAACTTCTGGTGAACCTATGCTGAATTTAAAATATGTGATGAGGCTTTTTATAAACTGGCCCGTGTCAAATTTGTGCCACTTAATACGCTGTAATACGCAAATGTGCCACTTCGATGTGTTGATATTTTTGACGAAGCGGTTCCGATAGTAATTTACGAGTTACGTCCCTTTGTTGAAACTTTTCATGTACAAACTTATTTGTACTATTATATCATGTATATATATTAAGCACCATATGCTGTTATTTACAAGTGAATATTATTAAAATAATTAATTATCTGTTTGCTAAATATATTTTGATACTACAGACATATGTAAAACAATCAGAACACATTTTATTATTTTTAAAACAGTTGGAACTGTTTCAGAAATGAAATATGGCTTTAATATTACAGTAAGTGTTACTCTGTGCCATAATATATTATTACAAGAGTTACTCTAATATTTTGGTAAATATTTTTACTGCTGTAACCAAATAGTATCAACACAGAAATAAATTTCTACTACATAAAGACCAGGGATAGCCAAAATGTGCATAAATACTGGATCTAGACAGGTCACATGGTTAAAATGAATTCCCTTTTCAATACTGATACATGATTCTACCTTTTTCATATACATTTAAAAGAAATAATAATCAAAGTATTCTCAATGTAAATTCTTCATAATTTGAAATAAAAGACATTGGTTTGCAATCTGTTTAGGTATAATTAAACTAAATATAACAATAAATTTTGTCTCATTGATTCCATGCAAGTTCTACTGAATGGACTCAAATTATAAAAAAAAAAAGCCTAAACCAAAAAATGATTATTGTTAAAAATGGTTTATAATCATGAACTTGCGAATAAATAACAACGAGAAAGATTCGATCTCATATTTTTCTTCTTCTATTTAAAAAAAAAAATAACTATGCATATTAAAAGTATTTCAGGGCAGTTTCTGAGTGCTAAGTCAATATGTTTCTAGACCATAAATGCAAGTAAGTCACACTTCTATGGCAAGCCAAAGTGGACAAAAAGAGCTATTTTTTAATATCAAAAAATCATTTTCTAATATTAAAAAATCACTTTCTAATATTAGAAAATCAATTTCTAATATTAGAAAATCAATTTCTAATATTATAAAATCAATTTCTAATATTAGAAAATGTTTTTTTTATATTAGAAAATCATTTTTTAATATTAAAAAATCATTTTCTAATATAAGAAAATGATTTATTAATATTAAAAAAGAAAAACACTATTTCTTAATATTAGAAAATGAATTTCTAATATTAGAAAATGAATTTCTAATATTAGAAAATGAATTTCTAATATTAGAAAATGAATTTCTAATATTAGAAAATCAATTTCTAATATTAGAAAATGATTTTCTAATATTAGAAAATCAATTTCTGATATTAGAAAATGGTTTTCTTATATTTGAAAATCAATTTCTTATATTAAAAAATGAATTTCTAATATTAAAAAATCATTTTCTTATATTAGAAAATGAATTTCTAATATAAAGAAATGCGACACTTTTTAATATTAAAAAGTGATTTCTTAATATTAGAAAATGATTTCTTAATATTAGAAAATCATTTTTTTGATATTAGAAAATCATTTTCTAATATAAGAAATTGATTTTCTAATATTACTAATATTAGAATTTTTTTTTCTAATATTAGAAATTGATTTTCTAATATTAGAAATTGATTTTCTAATATTAGAAATTCATTTTCTAATATTAAGAAATAGTGTTTTTCTTTTTTAATATTAAAAAATCATTTTCTTATATTAGAAAATGATTTTTTAATATTAAAAAATGATTTTTTAATATTAAAAAAGGATTTTCTAATATACGAAAATGATTTTCTAACACAAAAAAATGATTTTCCAATGTAAGAAAATGATTATCTAATATAAGAAAATGATTTTCTAATATCAGAAAATAGCTCTTTTTGTCCACTTTGGCTTGCCATACACTTCAGGTAATTATGAAAATGCTTTAAATAAGAGTGATTAAAAATGCAAGTCTGAAAGAGATTGTTTTAAGTTCAAAGGACAAGACTTTTATGTAACCATTGTACATGTAATATTTGCATTAACTTTATGCAGGATTCCTTCATCACAAAAAATAATAATAACAATGAATGATTTTTCCTAGACATCTTAAATTCAATGTTGTGCACAGACAGTATAAAAATTTCCTTACCTTATTGTTTTAGTTAACATCAAACATTTCACTTAAAGAAATAATTAATCCAGTCAAATTAACAGCTGAACTCGCCATTACTTTTTCAAACAAACACACTAAATGTGTGTACTTTCTGCTCAGATGCATGTTGACATCGATGTGTAAGACTATAAAAAACTACAATGTCAAAAAATGTCTTTCTTTTCGGAATTAAGTTCAAACGGGGTTTCCTAAATGGTGACAGAACGTTAGACTTGAAATATTTTTTTTAACTTTGAGATACGTATGATTTATTTATAGATTATATATAATCTTTGTTTATCTGTGAAAAAAGAAGAAAAAATAACAGACAATGCTTAAAAGATAGAAAAACATGTATGACATGTATTTCTGACTCCTATGGCAAGTATGAAACAGAAAAAAGAAAAATTTTCAAATTGCCGCCAATTTAGTTTTTCCGCGAAATTAACGCAATTTTAGAATGGCGGGCTTTAATATCAGTCCCATTGTTGTCTTAAGAAAGTAGGCTGGTCCTCTCCCTTGCAACATATACCTTTGTTAGACTGGTTCTCTGTCCTTTATCTGTTTGGCTCTGACAGATAACAAAGGTATATGTTGCAAAAAGTAAAATCACAAAAATACTGAACTCCGAGGAAAATCCAATCGGAAAGTCCCTAATCACATGGCAAAGGGATAGAACCAGCCTAGCCAAACAGATAAAGGACAGAGAACCAGTCTACTTAACGTTTTCTGTGCCACGGGCCGATTTTAGGCCGATTTGTAAATACTACGTTGACTGCCACGGGCCGATTTTCGGCCGATGTTTTTTTCCTTACGTCGAACAATAGGCTTCATTGACGTTGCCTCTTTTGTGTACTATGGGAGTGGCTACACAGATGAAGAACTGTGCCGTAACAAAAAGTTACGTTATGCATACAAAGTGCTTTCAAATTTTCGTTTTAGTTGCGTCGGCCATACTTTTATAGAGTATATATATAAATTATTTCAATTTGTTTTCATTTTGAGGACTTTCTGCTGATTTTTCTGTTTTGTTTTATATAAAAAAAATCATATTAAAGAAATAGAGAAGTTACACTCATTAATGATAGCAGTCGAAATTTTAATTACTGATACCAATTTTGTTGCACAGTATGTGCACGTTTCATCTAATAATGAATCTTCAGTAGTGGTCCAGATCCGAATTATGGAATTATCAAACAAACAAGAAGCCTATATACCAGATACCAGAATAACCGAAAAATTAATTAAAAATACATTCTAGGGAAAAGTAAAGTAAAGTAATTAAAGTGCTTGTCGTGATCCTACAGAGCCATCTTAGTTTATGGGAGGGGATGGGGATTTGATGCATTATCAATCATTTATTCATGTAGGTGTGGTGGGTTGTCTTATGTTCTCACTTCTCCATTTTAAAACGATACCTGGTATTACAATAAAAACGTTTTTTTTTAAATCAGAAATAAATAATATATTTTTAATCAAGATTCAACACACTAATGATTATCTTTACAATCCCGGCGCACCCCCTTACTGCATACTCGACACACTGTCCTTCTCCTCCTTCGACCCCGTAACCATTCCTGTCTGAACATACATCACAGTCTTTTTCTCGATGACCGGGCAACTTCCTTATTCCATTTTTATTCTTATTTTGTCTAAATTGTCTTGATTTTCGTTTCTTTGCATCATGTGGTCTTTGGCGAGATCCTCAATAAGCTGTTGCATGAAAGCTAATCTTGACAGTTTAAGGTTATCCGATGTATTTTATTGGTATAATATGTATGCATTGATAACCATACAGTGCGTAAGATTAAAAAACTACCTTTTTCCATACTTTTAAAGTTTTTCGTTCATCATTATAACTCTCTGTCATCATATCCATAGGTACTTGGGGACAGGACAATTTTTTTTTGCCCTCTCCCTTTTTTCCAAAATCCATTATTTTATCATTTTCTATTAGTTTTAATTATTTTCGCGTTTTGTCTGTATTATAAGAACATAAAATGATAAATATACTATAAATAACTTGTATTTGCTATTTATTATCATGTTTACTATCCACAGCTGTTACTGATGTATATATTTTTTGGAAAATAGGGGAAGGTAAAAAAAAATCGTTCTGTCCCCAAGTACATCTACCTATGATCATATCAGCCAAATCTATGACTGCTTTATAAGTGCTTGAAATGAGTCCAAAAATTTACACAATGTTACTGGGGTCATCAACATCAACAAAAAGTTCTAAAAAAAAATAAATTTGTCAACACAAAAATGAAAAATGAAAAAAATGTCCACACTACACGGATTCCCCACTCGCACTATCATTTTCTATGTTCAGTGGACCGTGAAATTGGGGTCAAACTCTAATTTGACATTAGAATTAAAAAGATCATATCGTTTGGGAACCTAAAACAATTAAAATTAGTACGATGTAAAAATTTTGATCTTATTTTCCGGTAATGACCAATTTTAAAATAACTTACTTTTGATTTTTGACTATTGTTTGGTTGAAATCCACATTGTCGCCACAAAAATGAAATTTCTCTTAAGACCCGGGGATTCATTTTAAGATTATATTTTATAAAAAATTGCTATGTATGGAAAGAAGCGGTGCTTCATTTGTGTTGTTCAATGTATATAGGAAAAATCTGTTTTTCTCCAATAGCGAGAAAAGACAGTGAATGCAAGTTTTCTTTTAGAATATCAAAGTAAATATGATATAAAGTGTCCTTTTTATGCAGTCATAAAAAACTTTATTTATTGGTTTTTTAATCGCAGAAAAATGTCGAATTTCTCTGTTTAATTAATGTAAAGTTTACCAGAATTTAACCCCAATCACTGCCAATTATATATAAAATACGAACGAAAGGATACATGTGCATTTTAAATCGAATTTCTAAATTGCATCCATCTATACATTCTCTCTTTCAAAAAATAAAAAAAATATATCTGCTGTAAAAAAAAAAAAAAAAGACCGCAGAGTGAACAAATACGGTGTTTTATTATTAATTAGTTCTCTTGATTTTGGCGCTTTTATTTTTCACAATCAAAATTTTATGAAAACTTTTTTTACAGCACAATTCGAAGATAATAGTTTTTGATTTGGTAAATTTCTTTATAATACAACCCCATAACTCGGAAACGTAAAATCTAAAATTCATAAAAAAAGAAAGGGAGCTAACGTCAATAGATATTAACAATTCACCAAAGTTTTATGCAAATTGGTTAAAGCGTTTTTGAGGTAATATCCGATATGTTAACGACGGACGGACGGACATACAACGGTATACCATAATACGTCCCGTAAACGGGCGTATGAAAATACACTCCTAGATTATCAAATAATCAAATAATCATGAAATATTTGGTCTGGTAATCAAATAATCACTAAAAAACGTCCAAGTAATCACATAATCAAAAACCCCGTGAGGAAGCTCAACTATCAACTGTTTGTTTGAGCGCTGTGGAACCATCTCTTCGAATTTAAAAAGAAATAAAAAAGTAAAACCCTACCTATGCACCTGAGATTTTTAATAAAATTATTACCGAAAAAGTACAATTTACTTCTACGTATACGGAAGCAAAACTTCTCAAAATTGCCATGCAAATTCAATCACTGAAAGACGTCGTACCCTTTTACGCAAAATCTTATGACGCGACGTTATTGTTATCGTCACTGACGGCAAGTATTCTTGTGTACTTTAGAAAAAAACAAGCTTGGCAGTAAAAGGAAAATTTCGAAATATTCCCTGGCACTGAAAGAGTTAAGAAAGTAGCAACAACGGTCGCTTCTAAGGGCTTGCTTTCCGACTGTGCTACTGTATCGTATGCTCTTAACACTTGTTAATAAGCTCATCTACTACCTTCGAAGGTGATATAATATGTGTAATGAAGCAACGTAAAGACAACATTATATATGGTTGTTATATGACAACTTAAAACATACCTTCAGACTGCTTTCTTGTCCAGAACGATGTTCACTTGTAAATACCACTAACGGTTTTGGTGCATTTCTTAATCAAAGACTTCTGCAAAGACTGATTTAGAAAAAGATACTATTTCATTAATATATATGCTATATACTGAGGAATTGGATCACCTCCCAGCATTAAATATTCGAATGATGCGTGTTCCGTAAAATGACTTTACAACTATTTAAAAAAAACAACAACATGAATTAGATTCTTGTTAGTTCGTCGTTCGGAGAGAGTTTTATGTAGAAATTGCATTACAATAAATTAGAGTGAGATGACATGAAAAATATACCTGTGCAGTGCCTGTCGTTTAATGGTGGCTTTGACTTGTAACTATCATGGGCTGTCTTGGCTCCTTTTTTAATTGTTTGCGGTCTTGTTGATGCTGTGTATGGTGCTACAAACAGAAATAAGCAAAATTACATGACAATCAAAATGTGTGTACTGAAATATCTTTAACCCAACCAATTGAAGTATCTACGCTATTACACAGGCAAATTTTGCTCACAGGAATTTCACAAGAATCTCACGTGAAATTCACGTCAGATTCACCTCATTTCTTATTCTGTTTGATTTCATATTGTGGGATAAAAAGTATGTTTATCATCGTTCTTACCTGTATAAGAATGATTTTTGTGTAGATTGAATCAGTTGGATCACCATTGTTTTACTTTCAATGTTGACATTCTTTTCCTTTTGATAGCTGAATACTTGCGTAACCCGTGACAAATTCAGGGGTAACATTGAAGGTCACATGAATACGGATTCAATGATTTTTGATTATTCACTTGCAATGTTTTAAACTTATTTTGGCTGTTAAAAGTAAATTATCATTACACTATTTCACTTTCACTAATGATAGAATATATCTCGTAGCTAATGCCCCTTTAAGGTGTATGAAAGCGTTAATTTTCGTTTGGCAACTCTACTTATACATGTTATATAACATTGCGGCAATTTATACCTTGTCGATATATCCTTTAAATCAAATAACAACATCTTGAAAAAAGTAAAATCACAAAAATACTGAACTCCGAGGAAAATTCAATCGGAAAGTCCCTAATCACATGGCAAAATCAAATGACAAAACACATCAAACGAATGGACAACAACTGTCATATTCCTGACTTGGTAAAGGCATTTTCAAATGTAGAAAATGGTGGATTGAACCTGGTTTTATAGCGCTAAACCTCTCACTTGTATGACAGTCGCATCAAATTCCGTTATATTTACAACGATACGTATCATATTAATACAGAGTATACTCTAAATTTATAAAAATAAGTATGCCACCTGATTTGAATGATTTTTTTTATTCGTAAATGGGAGATGAGAGTCGAAACAATATGCCATCATTATAATTCTTGACAGAGATCGGCTACCATGATAAATCTTAAATACTTAAACTCACTTTTCGTATTACCGCATCTGCCAAATTTGTTGTTGAGTTACCAAATTTGTATTTGCCTCATCGGTCTTTTTCTGATAATTTCAATATAATGAATAATTTTCAATATTCAAATACATTTTTGTCTATATTTTCAACTTAACAGAGATTAAATAATGCTCTGAAGTACTTTATTAAAATGATACTTAGATACATCTGATTCTTTAATTTAGTACAAAGCGAAACCGTATATAAAGAGGAAGAATTATGTCTTCCGCATATAATAACCGTGTCACCACTATCTATAACTAAGAATGTACAACAGATTACTGAACATCGGTGAGCCATGATAAGATTAAAATTTAATATTTAATTGTTTGGCACAGAAGAAAGATTATCAAATATTCATCCAGGTATTTTTAGATGTTAATTATATCAGAAGAAAGTAAGGACAAGACCAAAACAACTCATCTTAGATATCAGGATTCTAATTTTGTACGTTAGACGCGCATTTCGTCTACAAAAGACTCATCAGTGACGCTCTAATCAAAAAAGTTTGAAAGGCTAAAAAAAAAAACGACGTTAAAGAGCATTAAGAACTTGAAATTACGTTTGTTTTAAGTTGATACTCTTTGTTTGCCTATTTTCTGGAAACCAGAGTCAGCAATGAGCATGGATTATAAATTAAAAAGTAGTTAATGCCTTACTGAATTTGAAGTTCCCATTATGAAATAATGCTTCAATTCCTATTCCTATTCCTGACTTGGTAAAAGCATTTTCAAATGTAGAAAATGGTGGATTGAACCTGGTTTTATAGCGCTAAACCTCTCACTTGTATGACAGTCGCATCAAATTCCGTTATATTTACAACGATACGTGAACAAAACAGACATAATAGGTAAAATAGTCACAATATGGGTACAGCAGTCATCACTGTGTCACAATCTCAAAACAAACAAATATTTAACAAAAAAGCACAGAAAAGTAAAATCATAAAATTACTGAACTCCGAGGAAAATTCAAAACGGAAAATCCCTAATCAAACGGCAAAATCAAATGATAAAACACATCAAACGAATGGACAACAACATCGTTAAGCATCTATAAAATTTAAAAACCACATTCATTGCTTCGTGTGTCTGACGTCAGACATTCTGCCAGTGTAATTGATACAATTGCATTTTTATCATATTAATTCAGAGTATACTCTAAATTTATAAAAATAAGTATGCCACCTGATTTGAATGATTTTTTTTATTCGTAAATGGGAGATGAGAGTCGAAACAATATGCCATCATTATAATTCTTGACAGAGATCGGCTACCATGATAAATCTTAAATATTAAAAATATTATGAAAAAAAAACCAAAACTTGACAAATCGAATTTGATTATTTAGAAACTCGAAAAATTGTTCATTGTTTGTTTTTTTTTTATTACATTATAAATGTTTTAAATATTTTTTTTTATCTACATAGCTTTTTAAAAGGATTTCATAAGCTTAGACAAGATATGTTTTCGATGTTGTAGAAATTGGAAAGGAAAATGTAGTTGATTTGGTGATTGGTACACATAGCAGAACAATTATATGTAATTTCTTTTGAATACTCACTTTTCGTATTACCGCATCTGCCAAATTTGTTGTTGAGTTACCAAATTTGTATTTGCCTCATCGGTCTTTTTCTGATAATTTCAATATAATGAATAATTTTCAATATTCAAATACATTTTTGTCTATATTTTCAACTTAACAGAGATTAAATAATGCTCTGAAGTACTTTATTAAAATGATACTTAGATACATCTGATTCTTTAATTTAGTACAAAGCGAAACCGTATATAAAGAGGAAGAATTATGTCTTCCGCATATAATAACCGTGTCACCACTATCTATAACTAAAAATGTACAACAGATTACTGAACATCGGTGAGCCATGATAAGATCAAAATTTAATATTTAATTGTTTGGCACAGAAGAAAGATTATCAAATATTCATCCAGGTATTTTTAGATGTTAATTATATCAGAAGAAAGTAAGGACAAGACCAAAACAACTCATCTTAGATATCAGGATTCCAATTTTGTACGTTAGACGCGCATTTCGTCTACAAAAGACTCATCAGTGACGCTCTAATCAAAAAAGTTTGAAAGGCTAAAAAAAAAAACGACGTTAAAGAGCATTAAGAACTTGAAATTACGTTTGTTTTAAGTTGATACTCTTTGTTTGCCTATTTTCTGTTAACCAGAGTCAGCAATGAACATGGATTATAAATTAAAAAGTAGTTAATGCCTTACTGAATTTGAAGTTCCCATTATGAAATAATGCTTCAATTCCTATTCCTCATGGATAATTTCTTTATGCACATCTATTCCTGCAAATGAAATAAGAATGTACATGTGCACACATTAGATTTCCAGCTAATAGGGAGGTAGGAATATCCACAACAAAACGCACCTCTTTTTGCCATGCTTTATTGATTGATTACTTGTCTTTATGCATATTGAAGGCGAGAAATTTTAAAAGACATATCAGTTTGACAGGTTTTTTTAAGTTTGCTACATCTGGAAAAAACCCAACACAAATAAGTGGAGGAACAATTTACTGTTTATAATTATAATACTGTCAATGGAAACTAATACTGATTAAGTAAGTTTATCTGTTAAAGAATGCATTATTTAATTCTCTACAAAAAATCGGCTGTGTGTTAATCGGTCGATCTAAATCGTTTGAAATTTACACCAAAATATGGTAGAACTGGTATTTTAACGCTATGTTTTGAAGTTTAGATGACGTAATTGTGAAAAACATAATAGATAGAATAGTTCACTACAAAGTGCTAAGATACTGACAGGGTTTACCACAATGAGAAATACCTGAAATTCTCTGGATATAAACTGAGACAGTGTTTATACACTAAGGTTTCAAATGTTTTAACAAGATTGACCTAATGGTGCTAATATGTTGGTTCTCTCCCTTTCAACATACGGGTATCTAAGTGACCCGTGAGGTCATTTGTCAAAGTCAAGGAGAGAAAGGACAGGGAATAAGCATAACCTATAAAAAAAATGGAGGGGGTGGGGGGGTGGGTGGTGTTTGGCTATTCTTTTCAGTGGACCTGAATATATTTAACTCCTCAAGTATTTATACATCACTGTCATGATTGTCTTTCAAATTTCTAGGCTGAGCATTCCTGGTGGAGATACATTCAGAATAGAGTTTTAAATGCAACATATTTTAAAATGTTACTTTCATTTTCGACAGACCATTCGTTTTTAAGAATAACCAATATCTTGAAAGAAACAGGATTTTATGGAAAATAAGACATAGACCAATACCCCAAAAGTGATAGTAGATTTCCTTATCAATTAATAAAACAGTAATTGTCTTGATTCGATAACAGTTATTATTGTTTCAAACATAATAACACAACCTTACCAAAAAGACAATAGTTTTGAAACATCTTGTTTCCAAATTTTTTACATAGTACATTTAATAATTACCTTGCTGCATAAACCTATCTTTTAATGTGTTGTTTTTGTATGTACGTCTCGTTTTATCGATTTATTTAAACACTACCATAAAAGAATTATACGTTATCAACATATCAATATATAATTTAAATGTATAACTGTGTGTAGATCAATAAGAACTTTCATCTAGGACATACCATTGTGAAACCGATACTATGTATGAATCAAATCTTCCACTGTAATTAAATACAACACAAAATGTTTTATAATTAATTTTAATTTCAAACCTTGTAAAACTATATATCAATACAGGTATTTTGTAAGAAGAAAAATTATAACATCTGCAGTAAGTCTAGTTTTGTTGTAAAATTATTTCTTAATCTCGTTGATGTAATATAATCCACAGATAGCTGAAAATCGAACCTGTTGGGGTTTATCTTATTTTGAAGATGTGAAATATCCCAACCACCAAAGGATACATTCCAGCAATTGCAGTCAACACCAATATCAAAGACAATGTTATAACCAATAGAAAAATGAAAAGACAAACAACGACAGCAAAAACACTACAAAGTGAAACAAGCAAATTGAGCCTTACGAAAGCTGATGTGACAAGATTAGTAGTTCCTGATCTACTAGCGGCAGCTGTCGGGTTGTCATTGTCGATGCTAACATCCGGTAATAACTTGCATTAAGTGACTAACATAAACAAGGAGAGGATGGAGGTGTTTTTGACTACGTCAAATTAATCAAAACTTATCAAGACAACAAACAACAATTACAGTGAAACAAATAGCTTTTGTGCA